TAAAATAATTCCGAATTCAATTTAAAAATCCTATCGTCGAAATTTCAATGAGTAAATCTTATTAAAGATTTCGCATTAGTTCGAATTTTCGCCGATAAGAGGGCAGCACCTCCTGGGCATGATATGTGGCGCCATCTCTGAGAGAACGAGTGAACTTTCTCGAATAAAATATTTCTAAATTCAATCGAAAAATCACGTCGTCGAATTCATTTAAAAATCCTATCGTCGAAATTTCAATGAGTAAATCTTATTAAAGATTTCGCATTAGTTCGAATTTTCGCCGATAAGAGGGCAGCACCTCCTGGGCATGATATGTGGCGCCATCTCTGAGAGAACGGGTGAACTTTCTTAGTTAAAATAATTCCGAATTCAATTTAAAAATCCTATCGTCGAAATTTCAATGAGTAAATCTTATTAAAGATTTCGCATTAGTTCGAATTTTCGCCGATAAGAGGGCAGCACCTCCTGGGCATGATATGTGGCGCCATCTCTGAGAGAACGAGTGAACTTTCTCGAATAAAATAATTATAAATTCAATCGAAAAATCCCATCGTCGAATTTTTAAGTCTTAAATTCTTATTAAAGAATTTGCATTAGTTCGAATTTTCGCCGATAAGAGGGCAGCACCTCCTGGGCATGATATGTGGCGCCATCTCTGAGAGAACAAGTGAACTATCTCGGATAAAATAATTCCGAATTCAATTTAAAAATCCTATCGTCGAAATTTCAATGAGTAAATCTTATTAAAGAATTCGCATTAGTTCGAATTTTCGCCGATAAGAGGGCAGCACCTCCTGGGCATGATATGTGGCGCCATCTCTGAGAGAACGAGTGAACTTTCTCGAATAAAATAATTCCGAATTTAACATGAAAATAAGCTTTATCTCGGAAAGGGCTTATTGCTTGATAATTCAAAAAATCAGAAATGGACTGCAAGTTCGAGAACTCAATTTCCCATTACATTAGGAGTAAGAGAAGGATGCTTTTATGATGGAGGAGAGTAAGAAAGAGACAGAACTCATTCGTACTTTGGGATATTCGCATAGGGCAAAAGAAAATCAACGTGTATAAGTGTTACAAGATGATTTATTCGACAAATGCAATAATGATACAGCATACAAAATACAGATGTACATACATATATGGTTTGCGAAACATTAGCAATAACAATACCATTTCAGATATATTACATATACCACTGCATTATAATATACGTGTTGTATGTTATATGCTTTAATTTTTTTTCCGCAAAACATTTTAAAACATAGTTTTTATAGTTTTACCGAAAAGTAAATGAATTTTTTGAAAGTGGCCCTATCGCAATCTAACCTGTACCAGCCTCTTCTATGGACCATTCTGACTTTCTGCATTAAGAGATCTTTCAAAATTTCAAGAAAAAAGCAGTAGATCCTATGTGTGGCGCCACTTACTCCGATAAAATAATTCCGAATGCAATTTGAAAATCGCATCGTCAGATCTTTAAAGGGTCAACTCTTAATAAAGAATTCGAATTAGTTCCACCTTCATTGAATTTCCTTAGCCCTTCACTAAATCATTTTTTGCTCACGTCCTGCCTTCCCACTTTATTCCAATTATTTAATAAATATACACGAATCGTTCTATGTATGTAGTCATATTTTATTCGTGTTGATTTATTACAATTTAATTACATCTCTTGTCAAATTAATTAAACGCAATAAGTAAAATTCAAAGGCATATTATTCAGTTATAAAAAATATTTCGTTTCCCTGGATAATTCGTTATGAATAGCTCTAATGCATTGGAGTTATCCCAATAAGCACAAGTTACTCCAAAAAATTACATTTTTGTGGGGAACACTTTTCCTTAGTTCTGAATAATTCCGCCAGAAAGAAAAAGAAGAAGAAAATGACAAAAAGAAAGAATAAATACATTGATGACAAAAAGTATGAATCCTGTTCAACTCACGCTAGTTATATAATAAAGGTGTTTGCGCCATTTCTCGTATTTCAGGTCGTCCAGATGGCGACGCCAGCCGCGTCCCTTCAGGTGCGGCGAAAGAGCGGCGGCGATGGTCCAGGGGTTGCTGCCGCTGTCTCAGGGGTGCGCAGACGAAGTGGACCCCAGGGACTTCGATCACCGGCTGCCAAGAGGCCTTTATCCGCCCCTGTTGCATTGCAGGGGTGGCTCCACAAGCAGGGCTCCGAGGGTCTTATGCTCTGGAAGAAAAGATGGTTCGTTCTATCGGAGTATTGTCTCTTTTATTACAAGGGTGAGTAATCGTCCATTAAATCCTATCGACTTTATGGGGACCAGAACTTACTACCCTTTGTTAGATTACCTATCGACCTAGCGATCGTAGTTCACGTACGGGGCTTTAGAACTATTGTGGTTGTAGGAAAATGCGCGACAGGTTATTGATAAAAACGTCTAAGAAGTTGATGCAAACATTGCTATAGAATTTCGGCAAAGGACTCGGACGTATTCAGGTATTGTGAAGAGAACAGTAGAGTGAAGACAACACAGGTATAATGCGGCAGGACCAGTTACTTTGGCTGTGTAATGATTTACTTTTTTCCTGCTGGAAATTTTTCACTTGCCAGCTGTCCGCAAGCTTTCTGATCTACTTCGAACTTCATTAAATCTAAGACTTTGACTCAATCGCGACAAAACTTCCCATCCGGTAAAAAAAGAATCACCATTACGATACAACGGTACCATTCAACTTTGGATTAGATCCGACACCTTAATAGTTAGAAAATCAATCAAAGCCTTTCAGGCGTTAGTCCTACCACGTTGCTCAGTGTGGAATATTATTTATCTACTTGCTGTAGGGTGAATGCTAGACATGGAAATTGATCGAATGTCTAAGCTTAATTCAAGTTGCATGTAGGCAATGTAGGAATATATTGAATACTCGCCAGGTCGATATGGTATTCCCCGTTATTGATAGGCATTTAACTCGCATTTTCTATTTCTACTTTCTTTCTCATCTTCTGACGCTACACGCTCGACATACACAGGACCTTACGTATATTCAATTTGAGCTATTTGAACTTTTGGCCCGTTGAATTTCAGAAAGCTTTGAACATCGACTCGACGGACAATACAGGTCGAACTCCCTTGGTGAAACGTTACAATTAATTTTCTGAGAGATTCCAGTGCAAGCGAATACCAACTTACCATTGATGCAGCCATTCGCCAACTCCTCGGGTTTTACCCAGAATCACGTTTCGGCTGATTTCTCTCATTCTGGCAATAAAATATAAAAAGAAAATTAATTGTCACCAAGTGACAGAGAAAGAGACAGATTGACAAAATTTATTTGATCGTGCAGCAAGCTCCTCAACGATCACAGAATATTGCATTAAGCATAAACCACAGATGGTAGGCGAGCAAAGTAGAACATGCGAAAGAGCCGTTCATAAAACACGGAATTCTTCGACAAAAGCAGCTAACATAATCGATGAGAGATAGATGAACGAAGAAAGAGAAAAGCAAAAAAGCAAAGAGAGACGAATAGAAACTGTCTCAGATTCTCTCCAGTCTCTAGACTTTTTACTCCAGTGCCCTAAGCAAAGAAAGCGCACCGCTTAATAATGTAGATCTGCGAAGAAGAAGACTGTGTGCTTCGACACTGGCTATTATTCCGTCCCCCTCATTTCCAGTCCCCAGTCTCTTTGGCTTTGGCCAACACTTTGGATTCAGGAAGGCTTTCGTTCGTCTAGAGAGGTTTGCAAACTCCGGCAGCTTCATTCGACCACCCCTTTCGAGCATTCACTTGCTAATGACCGAGATGCCAGGGTCTCACCTTCACTTTTCGAGCTTTTGCTTTTAACGATCTGTCCTTTAGACGAGCTTTAAATATTTTCCGGAATTACTCGAGAGAGAAAGAGAGAGAGAGCATTTATCATTAAAGAGACACTGCTCAAGTTCAGCTTTAAACTTTCTCTCTCTTTATTTTTCTCTTTTCTTGTTTTCGAAAAGTTTATTTGCCACAACAAATCTTTGGCAAGCTTGCGCAACTTTTGACGTTGGGAACGTCTTTGACTGTTTTCAGGACCCGAGGAAGAAAAACTCCTTGGATCTATACTTCTACCATCCTATCGCGTCACCGTCTGTAGGCCGGAAGATAAGATCACAAGGAAATTCGCTTTCAGAGCGGAACACGCCAACATGAGAACCTACCACTTTGCGGCCGACTCGCGAGAGAGCATGAATCAGTGGGTGAACGTCCTGACACTGGCAACCCTCCTCCAGGATCCAAACCCGTGAGTATCGCTTCATCGTCAGCTGCACGGGGCTCGGAGTGTCCTGTAATGAGCATTGCGCGGTACAGGAGATGCTGATGGTAAAAAGAGAAGATGTGAGAGGTATAGCAGTG